TGAAACTACAAATCTTTAGCCACCTGATGCGAAGAACTGACTCATTTGAAAAGACCCTGATGCTGGGAAAGATTGAGGGCAGGAGAAGGGGACGAAAGGCAATGAGATGATTGGATGGCATCACCGACTCAATGGACATGTTTGAGTCAACTCCAGGAGTTGGTGATGGACAGGGAGACCTGGCGTGCTGCAGTCCATGGGATCGCAGAGTCGGACACGGCTGAGTGACTGAACTGAACTGACTTCACTTAGTATGATTAGCTGTAGGTGTAACCGTGTTCCTGCAGATGGCATTCTTCTCCATGGCTGAGTCATCTTCCACTGTGATCACTTGTTTCTGGACTCACCTATCCATGGGCATTCTGTGTGCTCCCAGGTGCTCTCCGTTGTGAATGGTGCTGTAGAGCCTGCGTTAGGTCACTTTTGTCTTTGAAATGTGGGTTTCTCCAAATACACTCTGAAGAGGCGAGTCTGCCCAGTCACCCGTGGTTGAATTTTCACCTTTTCAGGGCACGCCTCTATTGTTCTTCATAGTAGTTGTTACCATTTACGTCCCAGCTGCACCATAAATTAGTTCCCTTTTTCTCCACGGCCTCTCCACCATTTATTCTTTCCTCTTATTTTTTTTGGTATTGACTTTTTGATGATGGCTTTTCATATGGAACCAGTTTATTCCTTTTCAAATTAAATTTTCCTGTGTATGGATTCACGATATTGAGCATGTTTCATGGACATTTTATAACTGTTAACAAGGAAACCAGTATTTACCAGTTGTAATTAAGTTTCCAAGTCTCCTTTTGCAAAAAAATTATTTTCAATTAGTTGTATGAAAATTGTTTGACAGCAGGTATCATTTACAGTCTAATAGTCCTTTTGAATCAAAAGGAAAAAGTTTTAGGTTCCTGTTGTTGGAAACCACCACAAGACAGCACAACTCCGGTACTATGCTAATGAAAGCCTTGTGGTCAGTTTGATTATCTGATTCTACATTAGGTTGAATATACCAGCTGGAACCATGGTCAGCTTGTGTCTTATTTTTTTTCATTTATTGTAGTACATTTGATTTATTGTTGTGGATGTTGTAGGTATACAGGATCTCATTTAGTTACACACGTACACCTATCTGTTCAACGTTTGCCTTTTCACATGAGTCACTGCGCAGTGCTGTGTTACCTGCTTTCCTGTATAGCTGTTTGTCCCTTGACGACAGTCTTTTTATCAGTGATACATGACTCCCAACCTCCTATGGATCCCATCCTACCTTCCTCCTTGGTAACCATGTGTTTGTTTTCTAAGTCTGTGCATCTCTTTCACTTTCATAGATTAGTGGACTGGTATCAATTTTTCCATTTCACATACAATTGATATATGTTTGTCTTTCTGACTTACCTCACTTAGTACTATACCATATTGTCTCCCAATTCATAGGTTACTACAAATGGCATTCTTTTTCATGGCAGAATCCTATTATATTGTGGAACTCTGTCACTTCCTTATCCACTCATTTGTCGATGGACATTTGGTTTGCTTTTGTGTTTGGGTATTGTAAATAGTGCTAGAGTGCATGCTTGGGTGCACTTGTTTTTGAATTCTTATTTTCTCCTCTTATTCTCTTAGCAATGTGCCTGTCTGATCATATGGTAGCTGTATTTTCACCATTTAGACACACTTTCATAATGTTCTCTATAGGGTTTGTTACCAATTACATCCCACCAGCATTATAGGAGGGTTCCCTTTTCCTAAGCTCCCCACTGCACCATTTACTGTCAGTAGCCTTTTCTATAATTGCCATTTTGACTGGTGTGAGGTGATATGTGTAATTTTCATTTTGCATGTCTCTAATAATTCACCATAATTGAGTGCCTTTCATGGAAGTTCTTTTCACTACACACTGAATAAATAGTATCTTCAGAATCTACTGCTACTTTTTAGGAGATACCTGTGAAGTTTAGGTGGAAAGGTCATGATGTCTGCACATACCTGCAGATGTTTCACCAGAACAGCAGTGATGGTACACACATTCTCTCTCTCTCTCACACACACACACTCAAGGGTGTTCAAGCCTATGCCTATGTTGATTTATAAAGTATTCCACCTGGGTGAACAGTATGTGGGACATCACTGCACTATTTGCAACTTTTCTACTGATGTGAATTTTTTCAAAACATAAAGTCCAAAAATATATGAAGTGTCAAGTGTTAGCCACTCAGTCGTGACCAACTCTTTGTGACCCCGTGGACTATAGCCCACCAGGTTCCTCTGTCTTTGGGATTCTCCAAGCAAGAATACTGTAGTGGGTTGTCATTCCCTTCTCCAGGGGATGTTCCCAACCCCAGAATCGAACCCAGGTCTCCCGCATTTCAGGCAGATTATTTACCATCTGAGCTACCCATGTATATAGCAATTTTAATTAAGACACTGCAAAAACCTTTATAAATATTTGGGGAAAAAAGTCAGCCTATAGATTTAATTTCTTGCATTTGAATGTATTCAAATTTTATTACCATTGTCTATAGATATTTAACACTAGCATTTGTGCAACAGTCCTCTTAGGCAGAGGGGGATCATAACACACAAATCTTACACACTAAAAATAACTGTACCATGTTCAACAAGGCTGTTTTTGACTCAGTAAACCAAGCTTGACACAGCAGCCAATTCAAGAGAAATGATTCTAGGACATAAGTGAACTTACCGCTTAAGGGAACATTACAGATTATACTAAAATGTTACACAGATTCAAGAAAGTTTGTCATTTTCCCCTAGATGCAGACAGGTCCACCATGTAGAAACCTGTACATTACAGCACTCTGAGGTTTTCGCAAAGCATACATTATAGATACATTTTCCATACAGTGCAATTTTTATTGTGTAAGACATGAGTAATAGTGCACTTAAATCCAACAATCACATTCGAATATATCGAGTAAACTTCAAGTACCTGGTTATTGAAGAAATACATACTGTTATTATTTTTTTAAATAACTTGTGCAAGTACAAGATTTTCAGTGTAGATGGTAATATATCTATAAGGATTCTAAACAAGAGAACTCAAGGAGTATTTGTATAGAATAATCCACCTCTCCAAAAATATGCGCATTTGGAAAATTGAAGCAAATGTCTTGGGTTGACAGACACGGGCAGTGTTACACAACTTTTTATCAGAAATCACACATATAATATGTATACTCACAGATGGTTATAGAGAACTGCTTTTGAAGACAGTGAGCTCTCATCAGGAACCATTTTCAGGACAATGTAGTGTCCACACTGAGTCCTGTTATATTTCATTAATTAAGCACAAACGACAGTTCTGCACTGTGGTTCAATTATAGGACATCAGTTTTTTGTTTTGTTTTTTTGAGGGGATTTAGATAACAAGTTCCGGAGAAGGCAATGGCGCCCCACTCCAGTACTCTTGCCTGGAAAACCCATGGACGGAGGAGCCTGGTGGGCTGCAGTCCATGGGGTCGCTAAGAGTCGGACACGACTGAGCGACTTCACTTTCATGCACTGGATGAAGGAAATGGCAACCCACTCCAGTGTTCTTGCCTGGAGAATCCCAGGGATGGGGGAGCCAGGTGGGCTGCCGTCTATGGGGTCGCACAGAGTCGGACACGACTGAAGCGACTTAGCAGCAGCAGCAGCAGATAACAAGTTTAGACTTTCTAAAACCTAGCATAGTTTCAGAAGGTCTTTTCTGGGCTTCTGGCTGAAAGGAAGGAAATGCCGTGGATGGCAGGTTGTAAAGACTGAGTGAAAGGAGAAGCGGTTTTTATTTAAGAAACCAAACGTGAGAAAACAACCGTCCCCATCACCCGGGAGTAAATACCAGTGCAGCAACCAGTCCTTTACAGCTTTCTGTTGAGATGGTGAATTACACAAAAATGCTACTTATAGTAACTTAGTGTGCATGCTCTGGGGGCCGGGGTGGAGTCTGTGTCACGTTTAAGAATAAGAAATGACTCCTCTATGTTGTCCTGAGGTATAGGATAACCTGGGTCAGACAGACTGAATGACTTCATTCTCTGGAAAATTTCAAAACTTCCAGAACAGAGGATTAACTATTCTAAATATTGCCCATTTTTTTTTTGGTCCAGGAAATACCTCTCTGATAAAGGGTGCTTGTAATAGACTTGTGTCATTTTAACTCATAAAATCTGGATGTGGGTAGATACCAAAACTGTGTCTCAGGTGAAGGTCGGATAGCAAGTGAACCTGATGCCCTAGCTAGGACTGACCATTAAAGTAGCTACTCTTGAGACCAGATAACTATGACAGTTACATCTTTGAGGGGTTTTCTTTGTAATGCAGCACAGTGTTCCTCTTGTTTTTCACTTCAAGTGACAATAACTGGTCAGATCTTTTCCATGATTTTTTTTTTAACTTAAGAAAGACTGAATCAAAAACTAAAATCTCACTTAATTTCATCCTTTAAAATGAAAGGCAGTGACTTATCTATCACTTCTACAAAATCAGGCTGAGGGGTTCAAAGAAAAGTTTTAAAATAAGATACATACAAAAATATGTATCTTAAATGATTATTGTCTTCCAAAGTTTTCCCCAAAATCACTTTAAAATCTTGTTTCAGAGGCCTAATTTTTCTTAGGTTTAAAACAAGCTATAAAATTATCTTATTTCTATCAGGTTTTATAATTTCTGCTTATTTTCTTCCCATTTAATAAAATCAAAACAAAAAATGTGAAACAATTACTGACAAGTCTTAAACCACCCAAAAAGTTTCAGCATTTTGAGATAACCAAACTGTTTCTTCTGATTAAAAAAAAAATTATTAATTTAAATCTAAAGATCCCTGCACTGCAGCAGTCCTTTGTATTAAAATATTCTTTGTGGGGGCTTACTTTTTTTACTCCAAAAATGGAAACCAGCCTTCACAATGAATAAATACAGAAGCTGCATAACGTACATGAACTTGATTATACGTCACACAATGCTTGTATGGGGCAATCTGCATTCTCACTAACTGAGCCACTATTCTCTTCATTATGAAAGTTTTTAAAGCTGCCTTTATCAAAGACAGTTCTCCAAACTTAACCTTCAGTAAGTATCTTATTAATATATCCACTGTAATTATTCTTTTCATCCAAGGGATGAGTAATTTAATAGTATTACTAAAAACCCTCTTCAAAATTACATTGATAAAACATTTGTCTTTGTCAGAATTCTCAAGTTTGGGAAAACCTTAGTATTTACATTATTAGATGACCCCTTTGAAAGTGCACTGATACAAAAGTTTGTTTTTACGTCCTGTAAACAGAACTATAGTTTGGACAATCCCTAATTATAAATTAACACTAAAACACAAACTTGTCCAAACTGCTTATGATTGCTGTCTCAGTAAGAGAAAGAAAAGAAATGGAAACACTACGTTATCACCATACTCTGGCTCACATGTGAAATGTTCGTCAGGAAGACAGGTATGAGATGCTGGCATACAGTTTCTCCATGACCAAGCGTAAAAAAACCCTCTAATGTTTCCACCCACAGAAACCTTATGGCCAACAGCCAACCAACATTACTGAGAGTCGCTTCTTTAAAAAAAAAAAACACCAAAAATTCTCTAGTTTTCCTTACAGGTTGGTAAGAAAAAGGCTCCTTCTTCAATTTTGAGGATTCATTAAAAAAGTTAGTGTTTCCTTTTTTAAAAAATTAAGAGAGACATTTCACACAGCACACAAATACCTATAGCAAGAAAGTACATCTTTGCTCCTTCCCTCATTAGCCTTTCTTTAGGTGAGGACTTGAATGCCCCAATATTCTTAACTATAGTCAAGAAAACAGGCCAGGAGTAAAACTGAAATTAGAGGAGAAAAACAAATTTACCAAAAAGAAAGCTCTGACTATAGATTAGTCTAGCCTTTTGCTCCGAGTGAGGAAACAGGGGAAAAAGATGTCTTGGCAACTCTTTTGGAGATAGAAAGTATTTGCTACTTTATATAGCTTCTGAATGTGGCCATAGATTTTCTTAGAGTTGATTTTGAAGAGCTAAAATTTTAACTCGATACGTAACTCTAAAGCTGGGTTCAGTTTTGGTGTGTTTTTACAATGAAACGGTTTTATATAGATGGGATCAAAATGATATTAAAGATTACCCTCCAACTGTCCTTTTAAGGGAAAACTACAATTGAAAGTATTTGTTAAAACGAGCAGTGCCACAAAGTAGAAATGTACATGGAAAGCACCTAATCACGAACTGTTAAGAGTTGCAGGCAAAAACCAGCCTACAGCATAAGGTCATCACTGTTTCTGTAACACTGAGAACATTTCAAATTGGTTTCTGAAGTTTAAAACATACCTGCATCATGTTCATAAACTTCTATTTAAATTATATTTGTCTAATGGACAAACTAGCAGAGTCAAGATAAATTTTCAAAAGGCTCAAGGGAGTAAGAAAATCTTAACCTTAGTATTGGTAAACTTAGAATATTTAAAAACAAAACAATTAAGCACACACTTCTGTACATAAACCAGTGCAATAAGAACTTCAGACAAGGGCAGTGCATCTCTGGTTTAAGGTAACCGTATTTGTAGCTTAATTACAACAAATTAACATCTATTCTAAATGATGGTTTAATGTTACATCCAGCATTTGACACATTTAAAATTTATGACCAAAACCCTGAAGAACCAATTTGACACTACTGACACCTTATCAGTAACAAATTTCTCCTTTATTTCTAAATTGCACATACTTTTTAGTGTCTACGGTTAAAATAAATTTACTTCTTCTAAATGTAAATATCAGAAGACTTTAGCTGTTGCCCTTGTAAAAATAATTTACCTTGAATAAATATTCAGCTTTTGCTTTCTTGACAAACCAGAATGAGGACATGAATTCCGCTCTTGTCAGTCCAAAACTGTGTTAAAAGAAGAAGGGCTATTTTATCTGGCAGAGATATTGGAAACAGCATGTTAAACAAAAAAGTCTTGGTTTAACAGCAATTTCAGTTTTGAAAAATATTTCTATACTTGGAGTGCTTAAGAAGTCTGATCCTTTTTTAAACTAACAAATATTCCCTAAAGAGATTAGTCATATCCTTGACTGGTCTGGAGCACTGTTTGCAAAGCAGATGCAGAGAAAAGCTTACAATGAAATGGTGTATAACACAAACGGCATTAAATAGGTCACCTGTTTCACATAAAATGACTAGCACCTCCTTCCTGCTCCCAAAGTGAAGAGCCCCAACAGGCCATGTGTCACATGAGTAATAGTAAGTCCCATTCTTAAAGTACTGAGGAGTCCGTTACATTAGAAGGTTCTCACTCCTGAAACCCGTCCAAGGCTGAACGTGTGGCGGCGAGCTGAGGGCAGAGGAGACAGAGGTGGGCTGCCAGTCTGCACGGTCCTGTGAGGGCTGCAATGGGTAGGATTCAGGGGCTCTCCTGCACCCCATCCTCAGTCTCCAGTTCTGCCAGCTGCCTCCTAAGGAGGTTTACTTTCGCTTGTAATTGCTTGTTGTATTCTATGATGTTAACCATTTCTTCATATGCTTCATCCAAATACTTGGAGGATCTGTTCCAGCGTAAAAAAATACCTATTGAATCCACGAAAGAACAGAAGGGAAAAAGATGCACACCATGGATTAGCATTATACTTGTTGTGGCTAATACATAATCCCATGTATTGTAACACTTTTCTTTTTTCACAATTCACATCTGTTTTTTTATTATACTCTAAAATGTACAGCAATCTGAGGAACTCAAAGAGTACAGTTGAATAGTGTTCAAGAAGTCACTATGTACATGCTTATTATTCAGAAAACCCCATAACATTATGAAATAGGTCAAAATGCAGTTCTGATTATATTCAGGAATACAAACTAATCATTTACAATGCCATAAACTTCACAGTTTCACAATACAAATATTCTTTTTTAAAACAATTACAGAACTTTATCCAGACCTGTAAGACCGCCTATAGCTGTGAAATCATTTTCAGTGGGAAAGTGGCAGTGAGAGCAAAAGCAGAACCACACAAATTGTTTAAAAAGCCAGAACTTCAGCACTCTTAAGAGACCATCTGCTTTTTCCCCCACATAACATTAATTATTCTTTTATTATGGATAAAAAGACATTTTCTCCTGTACATACATATATGTTACTGATATCAGCTCAAGGTGATATCTTAAAGATATTCAAGTCAGGAGGTACAAATACTTCTAGACTGCAGCATGCATGTACCAGTAGCAACTTATCAGTAGCTGGTAAGTTCACAAAGATTTTATGAGTTATTAGAATACCTTCCATAAACCAAACTGCCATGCACCCTAGAGAGTCCTTCTGTATGTGTCCGAATACTACTTACATTCTTATCAAAGAAGAAGATAGAAACACAGACTAAAGACTGACCTTGTTGATTTTTTTATTGAGTATATTTTTAAAATCCTGTTCTTCAATACAGGAATTACTTACTTTTAACAGTTAACTTCGGTGTAGATATAAACAGCAAAGAGACATTTTAAGGCCACAATGGTGTCGTTCTACAATCCATATACTTACCATGAGAATATTTTTATCCAACTTAGAATTTCATCCAGTTCTAAGTGGTGAAAGTGAAGTTGCTCAGTTGTGTCCGACTTTTTGCAACCCCATGGACTATATCCCACCAGGCTCCTCCATGCATAGGATTTTTTCAGGCAAGCATACTGGAGTGGGTTGCCATTTCCCTCTCCAGGGGATCTTCCCGACCCAGGGATCGAAGCCGGAGGGAAATCTTGTCCTTAATGGAGTAGCAGGAACGCATCCATATAAAAAAATTTTCTTCCATCACTTAATCCCTGAACTTTCAATGAGGTTTTGTAAAGACCAGTTAAACTACCCTTCAGGAGCCATCTGGCTCTCAAGTTTGCCTTTCCTCCCAAATAACTAGTCTCTCGTTTCTGTAATGAAACATGACAGTGGCTTTTAGGGAAACTGCCCCAGATTCCTAACAGGAAGTGCAGCTGTTAGCTCTCCTGCACCTGGGACTGACTACAGAGGAGAAGGCTGAGCTGAGGCTCAGGGCCCCGGGAGGCTCTAAGCTCGGGCCCACCTTCCCCGTGCTAAACACGGCACACCTCGACCGCTAAGATAGAAGCGCACACTGAGGGGGAGGAGGCAGCTAATGACAGATATCCCATGCAGGACAAGCCACGAGAGCTGACAGCCAGAGGAGTGACAGAGGTAGGCTCCGTGTCAAACCCAGAAAGGAAAGCAACCTGAGACCCCCTCACACATACAATGGGCAGGCAGTTTCCACAAAAGACTTGCCCTTGAGAGTCTCACACAGGAGAACACAGTAAAATAACGGATGTGGATGGTACTTCAGTTTACCAAACAGCTGCCATTCCTGTGGGTATGCCCTTGTTTAACATAAAGATGACTAAAAATGTACTTACCACCTTCAAATTGATTAAAAAGAAATTAAATGGTATGTTATACCCTTTGTGTAATGGTAAGATAATATATTTTAGATAAGTTTTTGGTAGTTTTTAAAAAACAAGCTTCAGTATTTAAGGTATGTGGAGAACTGACTCATTGGAAAAGACCCTGATGCTGCGAAAGACTGAAGGCAGGAGGAGAAGGGCCAACAGAGGATGAGGTGGCTGGATGGCATCACCGACTCAATGGACTGAGTTTGAGCAAGCTCCAGGAGGTGGTGATGGACAGGGAAGCCTGGCCTGCTGCAGTCCATGGGGTTGCAAAGAGTTAAGACACTACTGAGTGACTGAACTGACTGCATTGAGTATTTAAGGAGATAAGCTTCAGAATCTGAAACCAATGCAGGTATAAACTCTTCTATAGATATGAAAATCACGTCTGGATTATTATTGTTCCACTTAAACAAGACATCTGCATTACTGCCTTGATAGATGACATTATGTACATTTTATGGAAGCTTACTAAAATGGACTACTTCATTAACCCTTCAACAGCATTTAACAGAAAACTCTATCCTAAAGACTAGCTGATAAAGGGAACAGAAACCATCTCCTAAGAGCTTACAATTTATTCCTGTCCCAACTATCTATCACTTTCTTACAGAAAAAGTAACGTACTTTCCCTCACTCCCATTAGGATGACCTATCATAGACAGGGGGAAAAACAGGAAATAAGTATTGACGAAGATGTGAAGAAACGGTAACCCTTGTCCACTGCTGACGGGTTGTAAAATGGTACGGCTATTACGGAAAACAGTATGGCTGTTCTTCAAAACACTGAACACAGAATTACTGTACGATTTGGCAATCCCAGCCTCAGAAGCAGGATCCTGAGGAGATATCTGCATGCCTGTGTGCCAAAAGGTAGAGGCAACCCAGGTGTCCTCTGACATGATGAATAAGCAAAATGTATACACACAATGCAAAACTGCTCAGCCTTGAAAAGGAAATCCCATCACACGCTACTACATGGATAAGCCTTGAGCACAATAATTACGTTCAGTGAAACAGCGCAGTCACAAAAGGACAAATGCGGTATGGTTCCACTCAGGTGAGCGGCAGGAGTGAGCAGAGTGGTGGCTGCCGGGGCCGGACAGGGACTCAGCAGCTGCTGCTCAGTGGGTGCCGAGTCAAGTTACACGAAGGAAAGTTCTGGAGACCTGTTTCACAGCACGTGATACACCTGACCATCTCTGTGTGCAGTTAAGTATTACTTTGGTAAATTTTGTGTTTTTATCACAATAAAAAGAAGTAATGTACCTTCTTATCTTGAGAAAATATCTGATATGAACAGCAGTATCCATGTACTCGTGTACCCACAGGCAGTCAAGAGAACATCTTAGACGGTCAACAAAGGGTTTGCAAAGGATGCGTGACTTACCCTCCCACAGCTGAAGACTCTGTGGGGCAACAGAAGGCCAGATGACAAGGTTGTTGGCTTCAAAGAGAGGGTTGGTGAGCTTACTCAGTTCACTGGGCCGGTTGACCCAGGACCACAGAGACATCGTTTTCTGCTGCAGCTTCAACTTACATCTGATCAAGACAGGAAACTGAGGTTAAACCGATTAATTCATGACAACCACTATTAAATGCTCCTTCTAATAGGACCATTTCTTTTCTCTGTACATTGGAAGGCAGAACACAAGATTTTTACCAGAGAAACAAAATGTTGTCAAACTGAAATATTTGTCAGCATTTTTAACTGTCAACAATTACCTAAATTGAAGAAACAGAAAATCTCAGCAGACCTATAACAAGCAAATAAATCTGATTCCATATTGGATCTGTTTCTTTTACTTTAATTTTTGTATTCTAGTCCTTTTGCTATAAGTTTTATCACTAAAAGGATGCTGCTTATAGCTTGAGGTATACATAATGGCCCATTTCTGGGAACCCTGCCTCCATGTCTGAATGCTAAGCTAAAATATATTGGTTTTGCTCATAGGAAACATCCTTACCAGGCCCACTGATGAATGGCTGCAGGAAAGAAGTTAACACATCCCCTCCCAAATCCAGCTGGAACCAGGAAACATTTCAAACAACTTACTTTTTTTAACTTTACCTCCTTAGCTCCTCCCCTTCTTTGTTTTATAAAAGTACCTAGCATCCAAACCCAGGCAAGACACTTCTTCGGGACACTAATACACCATCTTCCTGATCTGTTGGCTTTCCTAATAAAGTTGTTATTCTTTGCCCTGACAACTTGTCTCAATTTATTGGCCTGTGGTGTGACAAGCAGTATAGTAAGACATTTCAACTTGAACAAGTTAATCCTATCTCAACTCCATACTATCACCAAAGAAAACACTCAGCAAATACCCTTGGGATACAGAGCAGTATAAATTATACACACACCAATTAGTCAAACTGATTATGTGAATCCTGTGGCTGCAGTTAACTATAGCCAAAACACAATGAGAAAACTATGGTGACAGAATTTTCTAGAGCAAATAGTTCTAAATTTTTCCCTACAAGGATCTATAAGAAAATCTAATGTTGAAATATTTGCCAATTCAGCTTTAAAGTTAAAAAAAAAAAGAAAAATGTATTGCTTGAATTTTCAACTGGTAAAGATTCAGTGATTCCATTCCTTTGTGAAGACTGTTAATTGTTTACATTTATTATTCAACTACACGATGCCAGCTACCAGTCAAGAGACAAATCCTGTCTCTCACCCAGAGGAAGCCCTTGGATTGTACCCAAATGAGAAGATGACCAGTTAAGCATCTTTTAATGATCATTCTGATATAAATCTAATCAAAGCTATACACTTGATGGCTTCTGGGTGATGAAGTGAGACTGGCTCTCTGGGCCCGAGGACAGTTTCTTGGTGTGAGAGACACAATTGAGAACAGGAGCAGGAAGGCCTGGTGACCAACTGGCTGGGTGTCCCTGGACAATCATTAACTTCTCTGGCTATTACCTTTCTACTCTGTAAAACTGCATGGAAGGTAGAATTAGATTATATGTTTAAGCTTCTTACAGGTGTCAGGTACTGTTCTTATAAAGGGAAAGTAACATTTTAATGGTTGCTTAATTTACTCAAAGCTTTTTAGTCAGTATATGGACTCATTTTAATCTAACAGAACAAAATCTAGGATATGCTCTCATCTAGCATGTGACAGGCTCATAATAAACATGTAGCATCTGGACTCATACAGAAGCACTCTCAGTAATACTAATGGTAACCACCAACATCTTTTAAATATTGATAACTTTAACATAGAAGCAAATCCTCATCTCTTTTAGGAAATAACCAAAACAACTGAAAATGGCCCCTGCATGAGCAGTGTACCCACCTTTCACTTTCATTGTTGCCCAGAAATGTTCCAAACTGTGAGGCGTAAGCATGCTCAAAGAGCATGATGAGGAAATTCTCATTAAATTCAAAAGAACAAGGGAACTGACGAAGTATCTGCCACACACAGTCCAAGAAGAGAAGAAACACGGGTGACTCCCACTTCTGCTTGCTATTGCAGTAGGCTGACTGCGCGCAGCGCTGCTGGAACGGGTGACCAGCCTAAGAGAAAAGGTGGAAACGCGGAGTCATATCCTAGTGAGACCACATTATGGCACGTTATTAACAATTTCACACAGTTTCAACAAAACTACTACATAGAACATCATATCATTTGGGTAACTGATCTTTAGTGATTTCTTAGTTTAAGACAATCTTCAACTAAGGAAAAAGACAAGATTTCCAAATATCGGGCTGACCAAAAAGTTTGGAAAAACTTGAACTTATTGGCCATCCCAGAACTTAACAAGGCTACACAGTTAGCCATAAGATCTGTGGTTGTTCTTGGAATATCATTTCCTTCTCCAGGTGATCTTCCCGACCCAGGGATCAAACCTGGGTCTCCTGCATTGTAGGCAGATGCTTTACCATCTGTACCACCAGGGAAGTCCAGTAATAATAAACATAATATAAACCTTACTAAGTTGGTGAAATCTGGAGCAAAGTGAGAGAACGTTTTAAGTTCTGCAGGTACAAAACAAAGGTCAGCTCTCCCCTTCTATCCAGCCAGAGTGCTGTAGCCTGGAGTAAGCTCCATAAGCCTCACCACTACATGGAGATAAATATGGGGTTCTCATAGACAGATTTCATCAGGTCACTCCTGATATTAATAAGGCTTCAGAAAACTAAGATCATGGCATCTGGTCCCATCACTTCATGGTAAATAGATGGGGAAACAGTGGAAACTGTGACATACTTTATTTTGGGGGGCTCAAAAATTACTGCAGATGGTGACTGCAGCCATGAAATTAAAAGATGCTTTCTCTTTGGAAGAAAAGTTATAACCAACCTAGACAGCTTGACAAAAAGCAGAGACATTACTTTGCCAACAAAGGTCCATCTAGTCAAAGCTATGGTTTTCTCAGTAGTCATGTATGTCAAAGAATTGATGCTTTTAAACTGTGGTGTTGGAGAAGACTCTTGAGAGTTCCTTGGACTGCAAGGAGATCCAACCAGTCCATCCTAAAGGAAATCAGTCCTGAATATTCATTGAAAGAACTGATGTTGAAGGTGGAACTCCAATAATTTGGTTCCCTGATGCAAAGAACTGACTCATTTGAAAAGACCCTGATGCTGGGAAAGATTGAAGGCAGGAGGAGAAGGGGATGACAGAGGCCGAGATGGTTGGATGGCATCACTGACTCAATGGACATGAATTTGAGTAAAGTCCGGCAGTTGGCAATGGACAGGGAGGCCTGGGGTGCTGCAGTCCATGGGGTCACGAAGAATCAGACACGACTGAGCGACTGAACTGAACATATGACAAGGAGTCGCTGTCGTGAAGACATCTGCAGGAATACTGCTACATTAGAGACATGCTCTCCTTAGTTTCCTTCTCCTCGCCAGAAGAGCTGAAGAGTCTGCCACCTACTGACCAAAGGGAAGTTTCAAATCATTTGGCTCTCCGGCCTACCCAGAACCTGAGTACTGACGTTATCCCCACAATCACATCCTTCTCGGTATTTCACACACTTGTTTTATCTTTGGATCTTTAATGGGCAACCCACTCCAGTATTCTTTCCTGGGAAATCCTGTAGATAGAGAAGCCTGGCAAGTGGGCTACAGTCCATGGGATCACAGAGTTGGACACGGCTGAGCACACACACAAATCATACACATTTGTCTGCTATGCTCACAAGGAATGTAGCTGTGTAAGATCACCAAATACTTAGGAGAGTCCGACTGAGAGATAAAGGACCACTGTCAGAGTGGGTAGATGTGGTAAACATAACAGCATTAACACATAATAAACAAGAATTCTAACTGGAAGGGCTAGAAGAGAGAGATTTCTACTTTCAAGTTATATCTAAACATTTGCTTTCAATCACAATTATATACTAAGTGACACCGTGCACAAACATTTGAATTAATCTCTAGCTTGGAGGATTTCCATCTATTTATGAGACCTTTATCTTTGCTGCCCTTCAGCATTTCATAGGCTAGCACTGTGCTATGTCCAAGGAGTAAACAGCTGAACTTGGCAAGGGTCTCTGAACTCAAAGAAGTCACTATATTTGGGTCTAGTTCGGGAAACAAAGTGTGACAAAAATGGGATCAATTTTATCTGTGGAGGAAGTTAAGGTCCCAGAGACTTCATGAAAGTGACACTGAGCTGGATCTTACAGGATGAGAAGGACTTCAGCCTGGCTGGGGAAGAAGTCAGGATGGAGCCAAGTGAGAAGACAAAGTGCTGAAGCACGCGCTTCCTACTTAGAAGTCCCCACTCCTCCTCACAGGCTTGTTTGTATCTTTTACCTCTGACAAGACTAAGCTCTGTGAGACAAGACCGTGCTTTACACTCTGTGTTTCCCTGTAGGTAACAACAGCCAACTAACAAGCACTTGTTAGGGGAATAAAGTGCCAAATGAACAAGACGAGCAAAGAGGGAGACAAAAATGGAGAGGCAGTAAAGACCGCATTTACTAAGAGGAAGATAGATGAACTGTCCCCCAGAAAAGTAAACATCTGAATCAATCAAAATTTCATATATCCATTCCCACAAACCAGGACCAAACATCAATTATGAGCAGTTAGCTTTTCTCACCTGCAGCCACTCTCTTTCTATTAAGGCCTCAAAGCCACGGATGGTCCTGCTTCTTGGTTCCAAGATAATCTGGGCCAGGGAGGTAACCTGGAGTGTGGAATCAGTTCCTTCTGTTCCATGGATCAGTATGGATGCTCCTTCCCTGTAAGGAAAATCCAGAGAACAAACGGGACACTCCCAACACTGTCAACTGACTGTGAATAACAAACACTTCTTGAGGGTGACAGCTGAAAGCCTTTGCACTCTGCTCTGTCTGGCATCAGATCTAAAGAAGCAACATGAAGAGCTTCCCTTGGGGAAAACACGAAAGTATGGGAAGTCCCAGATCTCGTAGGACAAGAACTCTCTGACTTCTCATTATTTTTCAGTTTAAGAAAATAGAAATTGTTAGATTCACAACTTAAGGATTTGTATAGAAAAAAATAGGTCGTTGAGTACTTAAAAAATCTGTCATGGATGACATGTGTATGTACACGGTTCACATCCATTTAACACCATTAACAATTAAATGCCAGCCTCTTCACACACACTTCACAGAGGCTGAATGACACTGACTATCCTATAAAATAACGTGGCCATAAGGTGGGCTTCCCGGGTGGTTCGGTGGTAAAAATCTGCCTGCCAAGGCAGGAGATGCAGGTTTGATCCTTGGGTCAGGAAGATCTCCTGAAGAAGGGAATGGCGACCCACCCCAGTATTCTTGTCTGGGAAATCCCACGGACAGAGGACTCTGGCATGCTACAGTCCATGGGGTTGCAAAGGATTGGACGTGACTTTAGCGACTAAACAACGACGACGAACATAAGTTACAGACACAAAGGGTAACCCAATATGTAAGCACAGGTCTGGAAGGAAGCAAGTCTAGTTGGCAGGAGCTCCCCACTCCAGAACCCTGATACTCATTTACCTGTCAAGACACTGCGCAGCCAGACAGGCAGTTGTCAGAATCTCTTTGATGTGAGTCAGCCAGTTGGAGGCCTCCAGTTTACTGAGCCATCGGTCCATGTTTTGTGTTTGGTCATTACAAGATTCCACGAGTTTGATTAAGCTCTCCTGAAGAATGTGATACCTTTGAGAGATCAGAAAAAGTAAGAAGAAAAAAAGATAACAGAAGATAGAACCATGATGGAAGAAACCAAATAAAATACTCAGCCTCAAATATATCCAAGAGCAAGACCAGCTCAAAATACTCTAAAAACATTTACCTTGCTATGTAATAACTTATAGGGTTACGGATTGTAAAACTAATATTTAAAATTCTCTGACTGGGGAGAGGGTCAGAGTCCTGTAGTTTGTGACCAGTTACAGACAGTGCCCCTGATGTCTGCACCCTACTCCCACGGGCTCACTCTGAACACCTATACTGTCGGCAGAGAACCCAAGGTCAGCTCAGACCGCATTGTTTCATTACTTCCAACTCCCACCCCCTCACCCTCCCAGAAGCAATTAAAAACCATTAACTGCAAGCATAAATGAGATGATACAGGTGGAGGGAACAAGGTGTGGAAGTTAAGTGGGTATGGGGGAAATTAAATGTCCAAGTATTTTTGACTTAAGAAAATGTAGTTGTCTGTAGCATCTCTTTTCAGTAAGTTTGGTGACCGCTGATCTAAAGCAAAGGAGATCTCATGGTGATGAAATTTCAGAGCTAAGAGAGAAAAAAATGCTATTTGATTAAAACTCACTTGGGACCATCTACCATGAGTTTTCTGCTTATCTTACAAAACACGAGACACTCAGCCAATTTTTGACTCGAACTAATATGAAGGTTCCTTTGAAAACCTGTGATCTTCCAACAGCTAAGGTCTCACCCACTCTAATTAGCTTCAAATAAGAGTCCATCACTGTCTCCTGAATCTTTTACCTCTCAATGGACTTGTGAATCCGCCTCCACTGGGGATAATGAGCTTCTTGCTCAAAGCCGCCTCCTTTGGCTCTAGCCTGCTGAGCTACATTTAGAGGTCGAGTATCAATGATGTAGCCACGCTTTCCTGCCCTGAGGGTAGCATTTATCAGTTTCTCATCTTCTTTGCACCGCCTCCCATTTGTGCCAGTGAGTGGCTGACCACTTCGCATAATAACCTACAAGGACAACAGAGTCTAAAATTTAGTAGTAGCTGCTTTGAAAGTTTCTGGAAAACAGAAATGAATTAAGCTAAATTAAAAATGTCTCAAAAAACAATTGTGTGTCATTTCAGAAATGAATTCAATCCTGAAACAAAGAAATATTTCTATGTATTTAACAACAGTTTAAAAATAGTAAAACAAAAATAAGACTTGGCATTCTTACATGATTTTTCTTCCCACTGTCTCAAAATACTTTTACATAATATAGTTTCTCTTTAAGATCAAATATTATAGTTCATTTAATCAGTGAATTAATCATCCAGTAGATCCAGGCCTGCAATTAAGACAATAATAATGGCCTAGACACCAGGAAACTTTTGCTTCAGCTACGTCAACTTAGGGTTGGCAGATTTTATCAAGAATTATAAAGAGAAAAGGAACCAGTGGTAAAATTAAAAAGGTTATACACTATTATTCTTGCTTTGGGAATCATTTTCAATGTCTTGAAAGCTACTTATTATCTATTCTTTATTCTCCAGTGGCTCTCTTTCAGTATTCCAGGACTTAACCACCCATCTCCAAAGACCAACAACTATATACTGGGTTGGTCAGAAAGTTCCTTTGGGTTTTTCCGTAAGATCTTACTTATTTGCTACTTTTCTCAAGAAAGCAACATCTATTATACTGATCTCTTCCCTGGTGAATGGTCTGGAATTATTTTAATCTCATCCCATAATATATACTGTTATCTTAACTACTTTGAAATTTAACATAATCAAGGAAGGTCATCCAGAATGGCGAACTCTCAGACTGTACTTACCATGTAATTGAACAATAATATATTTTGTATGAGTTGTTAAAATGCTTTATGGTGAACCCTAGTGAAGAGAAATACTTCTCAGCAAGCAAGGTAGGTGACCTAATTTTTAAAAATCTCTTTATCCTAAATATCTACAATTCAGGGGAAAAAGGAAAATAGCTATAACTTATTCACTAATTTACTACTGGATGCAAAATGAGAAGCAGAGTTTACTGACTGAGAGAAAACATGAGGAGAAAAATAAATTTAGAAAATATTTAGGAAATGAATACACAATGAACACCTAACTATTCAATGCCTGACTCCTGTATTTACTAAAGTTATGACTAATGATATGTGTCACTCGTCTCCCTTTTGAAAATAAAAATGTCTGCTCAATTTACCTTACCCAGGGAAATCTGGTGAGAATAATTAAAGTATCATAGGGACTCCCCTGGTAGTCCAGTGGCTAGGACTCTTGAGTGTCCACTGCACAGGGTGCAAATTCAATCCCTGGTTGGGAGAACAGAGACCCCACGTGCCGCAAGGCACAGCCGGGGGTGTGGAACAAATGTGTCATACCATTATTCCAGTGAGAGAAATTTATTTTCTACCAAAGAGTGTCATTTTCAGTATCAGATAACATTAGTTCCCTGTGTCCTGAGTCCTGAAGATAAAACTGGTTGGGCTTTTCTAAGGTTAAGCAGCATTATGGAAAGAATTCAGTCTTATCCTGATCACAGAAAACATTCTACTCTGGATTCCCGAAAGTTTAAACAAAAGTAAAATTCCTGGCAGGAGAGACTAATCATTTCAATGAACAGGTACACAGAAAAGGTGAACAGTTCTAGGAATCTCAAACCAAATCTTCCAGTCGATCATGGAGCAGTGTTCACTTACCATTCCATTCTTTTTATGATAGTAACTGAGAACTGGGAAGCGGCCTCCATGGCGAAATGCGGCTACCTTCCGAAGTGCATCATCGTCGATGGCTTTGGGCACTGTGACAGCTGGTGGATAAGAGGGGCACACAGCAAATTCCTGATTGACATAGCTTAGCCTCCATTCACTGATCTGAAAGACACAAAATACTTTAAAGCTAAGCAGGTATCTCAATCTCACAAAGTAATCTAAAAACTTTTATTAAAGGAGCTTAGAGATTTCATTTTCATACAATGAAGACACCATCTCACAGTTTAATAGGAGGACACCTAGCCCTTCCTTAAATACTTTCAGAAAACGCAAGCTTCATTCTTCAGAGCCAGCTTCTTACAGTGCTAGGTATCACTAGCTCCTAAAAAGTTCTTCCATCACTAGCTCCTAAAACGATCTTCCTCATGTTGAGCAACATTTATTGTTCTGTAACTTCCTCGATTTTTTTTTTAACCACGATTTCAGTACAAATTCCCTATTTCACAAGGCAGCCAATGGAATGTATGAAAGATAGCTGATTCTACTTTAGTTTCCTATTATCCAAATTAAATATATTAATTATATTCATGAACATCATCTCATTCATTCTTGTCTGGGTACCAATGGTACCCTTAAAGTATAGCAACAGGAACTACAGCAACTAAAGCAACAACTCCAGATAATGCTTACCCGGAACAGAATAGTGCTACTATCTACATCAAATCCCTTGCTCATTTCTGCTGTTTAACAAAGGAGAAAAAAATGAGGAAAGACTGTTAACATCGTTCTTCAAGCAATAATAGCTTAATACTAAGAAAGATTATACCTATGAGTCAGTGAAATAACTTCAAACTCAGCAAGCTAAGGATCAAAAATACACAATATAAAACTATCAAATGACAAGTTATTTCTAACATGAAAAATGAAAACCACTTAAAAACTGTAAACAGCTTTTGTGCATGAAAATTTTGATATTTCCTGTACATCAGAGTTGGCCTAACATACTGGCCACGGGCTGTAGCACCAGGAGGATGAGCCGAAGCCTGTTTAATATGCCGTGCTCCTGGTCCTGCTCAGCTGTGTCTGGCTCTCTGCAGCCCTGTGGACTACTGCCGGCCAAGGCCCTCTGTCCACGGAATGGAGGAACCTGTCAAGAGTGGGCGCTTCCTACTCCAGGGGATCCTTCCAACCCTGGGATTGAACTTGAGTCTTCTATGTCTCCTGCAATGCAGGTGGATTCTTCTCCGCTGAGTCACTGAGGAAGCCCCTTGATATACTGTAAATGTATTTGAAAAAACCTTTTACAAGATGCAGTATCATTTTTAATTAAATTTTTTCACTGTTCAAACTTATGCACATTATTAATTTAAAAGATACTTTCTAAAAGATTCAATTATTATTTTTTTTTAAAAAGAAGTATCCCTAGTTTCTAGAAAGTTCTTCCTCATATTGAGGAAAATTTATTGCTCAGTAACTTCCTCTATTTTTTTTTTAACCATGATTTCAGTACAAGTTCCCTATTTCACACAGCAGCCTATGGAATATATGAAAGACAGCTGATTCTCCTTTAGTTTTCTATTATCCAAATTAAATTTATTAATTATTCTCATTCACTCTTGTCTGGGCATCATTTACTTTGTTAATGGTACTCTTAAAGTATAGCAACAGAAGACTGCAACTCCAGATAATACTTAACCAGAACAGAATAACGCCACTATCTCCATCAAATCCCTTGCTCATTTCTGTTATTTAAAAAAGGAGAAAAAACGAGGAAAGACTGTTAACATCATTCTTAAAGCAGTAACAGCTTAATACTAAGAAAATATTCTGCTAATCTATCATCTAAGTCTCCTTCCCCAGAGTAACTGTTTTCAACTCTTAGATTTTTATTAATTTTGAGTGTTTTTTACTATTAGGGATTACTTACTGGTTTCCTACTCTAGAGAAGGCTATGGTTCTTCACTGACCTGCAATACCACTTGTGTCAAATATTCTGTTAAGTTTCCACACACGGTGGGGGTCTATATTCTGTCCCACTGGTCGAGCTGTAGTGAGTCTCTGGCTTTTAGAATAAGCTTGGCATTTAGTACGCCAAGTCTCCTATATCCTCTTCCCTCCTCCTTGTTCTTCAAGAGAATCTTGGTTTCCCTTGACCCTATGCCCCTTTAATGTAACTTTTTATCAAATTCCATGTAAAATCCCACTGGGATTTTAATAAGATGGCACTGACTGTATAGACTGATTTAGAAACAATGACATCTTTATAATATCTAATTTCCTTGTCTATGGGCATAGTATCCCTCCACTTTTAAATTTTTCTTAATTTTTTTCAATAAAGGTATAAAATTCTCTCAATAAACACCTTGCATATCTTTCCCTAGGAACCTTATATTTTTAATGCATTTTAGTTGCATGTCTTCAAATTTGTGTATGGTGTAGAGAAATGCATACAATCTCAAGATTCTTTCAGTTTCCCATGTACAGAAACATATAATCAACAACTAACAGCAATTTTGTTTCTTTCATTTCAATGCTTATACCTTTTATTTACCCTTCTTGACTTCCTCAGCTAGGCGTAGTGATGGTGGGCAAATCTCTGTCTCACTCTTGAACTTAGAGGGAATAATGAAAGATTTGCTTTTTGTATGTTTTTACTTTTGTAGTTACCCTTTCTTAAATAAATTCCCTTCAAATTCAAATCTGCTAAGAGCTTTTATCATGAACAGATGCTTAATTTAGTCAAACTGTTTTTTCTCTTCTAATTTTGACTTACCATATATGTAATTTGTCTTTTCTCTTTGGTTAATTTTGTGATATCTCTTTGCCTTACCGTTTTAACAGTAGAACTCAATATGTCTTAAGATTTCCTTTTCATTATCCCATGTGGTGTTTGCTGGGATACCCTAATCTAAGGCTTTGTGACTTTCTGATTTTGAAGATGGTAGTCTCCACTATCATCTGTTTCAATATTGCCTTTCTTAACAACTTCTCTATTATCTTCTTGAATTTCCATTTACTAAATATTAAGCCTTCTCCCTTTACCAACCATGCATGCATCTAACTTCTCTATCATTTTTTTCCATCTTCCTTCTTTCTCTATCCTGTTTGAGTATCTATATTCCAGATCACTAGATTCTCATTTTTAGTTATCCCTAATCAGCTACTTAACCTTTACATCAAATTATTCTTTTCTCTTCTTTTAAATCAACTTTACTGAGATTTTACTATTTATATGAAAAAAAAAAAAAACCTAGATTCACTTAGAGTACACAATTTCATGACTCTTGATAGCTGTACCCACCCATAAAACACCACCACAATCACGATAAACATTTCAATCATCTTTCACAAAAATTCCTAGTACATTTTTACAGCCTATACCTCTCCATCCACACCCAATACTAGGAATCACCAATCTGCTTTCATTCACTTTTAGTGTTATACCTAGAAATCTTTGCCTAGTCAGGGGTCATAAAGATTTTCTCTTGTACTTTCTTCAAGAAGTTTTACACCTTTAGCTCTTATGTGTTGGTCTATATTTTTAGTTATTTTTTGTGAAATAAAGGTTTAGATCTATCTTTTTTACATCCAATTGTTCCAATGCCATTAGTTGAAAAAACTATCCTTTATGTAGAGAATTGTCTAAGCACCTTTGGCAAAAACTGATCACAGATCCAAGAGTTCTTTTTTAAACCTTCTATTCTGTTCCATGTATCACTATATCTATCCTTATGCCAATAAACCACATTTTCTTGATTACTGCAGCCTGATAGGAAGTTTTGTAAATAGTTAAGATTTTTTTCCCCCCAAAGCTGTTGTGGCTATTCTAGTAACTTTGCAGTTCCATAAAAATTTCAGGATAATTTTGACAATTCCCACAAAGACACCTACTGGAATTTTGATAGGAAGTTGTGCTGAATCAATAAATCAGCTTGGAGAGAATTAGCAAACTACACTTACTGAGAGATCAGCTAACTACACTCCACAACCCGAATCCAGTCCCCTGCTTGTATTGTAAATGCAGGCATACCTTGGAGACAGTGCAGGCTTGGTTCCTGACCACTGCAATGAAGTAAATAGTTCCCTAAGCAAGTCACACTTTTTTTGCTTTCCCAGTGCCTATATAAGTTATGTTTACACTATACTATAGTTTATTAAGTTTGCAACAGCATTATGTCTTTAAAAATTAAAATGTACCTATCTTAATTTTAAATATTTTATTGCTAAAAAATGCTAACCATTATCTGAGCCTTTAGTGAGTCGTAATCTTTCTGCTGGTGAAGGATTCAAAATATTGAGAATTACCACAACACAAGAGAGATATGAAGTGACCAAAAGCTGTTGGAAAAAATGACACTTAAAGACTTGCTCAACATAGGATTCCCACAAACATTCAATCTGTGAACGAAATGCAATATCTAGGAAATACAATAAGATGCAACAAAATAATTCAGGTATTCCTATAAAATACCTTTGGAACACAGCACCACTCATTCACTGATGTATTATGTTTTCATGATACAAAAGAGTGGAGTAACTGCAACAAAGGCTTCATGCCCCACAAAGTCTAATGTATTTACTGCTGGGTCCCTTACATAACTCAGTCCACTGTTAACCATATTGTCTTTCAATCCATGAACATGTATCTCCATTTATTTAGATGTTCTTTAACTTCTGTCAGCACTGTTTTGTGTTTCTCAATGTACAGACCCTGCCCTTTTGTTAATTTTCTCACTAAGTACTCTATTCACTTTAAGATGGTGCCGTGCGGTGCTGAGTCGCTCAGTCGTGTCACTAATTAGTTTCTGAACACTTACACCAAGCAATCTTGCTAAACTTACTAGTTCTGGTTATTTTATTGATTTCTGCTCTTATTTTTTTTATTATTTCATTCTTTCAAGTTACTTTGCTCATTTTTCCCCCTAGTTTCTTAAGCTGGAGCTTAAGTTGGTTAATTTATTAGACCTTTTTTCCTATTTCACATAAGTGCTTTAACATCGTACCTCTCTAAACACTACTTTAGCTGTAGTCTACAAATTCTAATGTTATCATTCAGCTAAAAATATTTCCTAATTTCCATTCTGATTTACAGACTACAAGTATTTCCTTTAATCTAGAAATACTCCAGGTATTCCTCAATACCTTGTGTGTTAGTCACTTAG